TCATTGCAGCTCTTCAACCTGCATGTGTCATTGCGTGTTGAAAGTGATTGGATCTTCATGCATTGACAACGTCCATAAGTAATCTTTGTATATGGAGTTCTTAGTACTTTTTCTCATTGAATTACGTTAGTAGGCACAAGACTTCTCTCTTATGATTCATAAACCCTTGAAGTTGGAAAAGATTCAACTTCATGGTTAGTTGCTTCAGACTATTTACTCTCTTCATCAACAACCTTGCCATCGTTGGCATTTGAGTTCTGAACCTCGTACTCTTTTATATTTGAAAATGATGTTGAATTTGAGCTTAGTATTGTTTTCTCAATTTCAACTTGTTCATAAGATAAACTAGCGCTTGGTATTACTTCCTCAATTTCAACCTGCTCACTATCATTTTTAGGAAATATCAAAAAGATGTCTTTTGCAAGTGTCTGAGCATTTTTCAATGCAAGAAAAACGACTCTAAAAGTCGGTTTTCTTGAACAAAGTCTCTATTGATAATAATTTTTTTGTGTTTTGGACAGTATACTCTATATGCTTTTAACTCAGTGACATAGTCAACCAACATACATGGTATTGATTAACTGTCCATTTTCCTACGTTCTTTCTTTGGAATATGAACATGAGCTAGACTTTCAAATATTCTAAGATGCAACACATTGGCTTTCTTATCATGGAATATTATGAACGGTATTTTTTCATGATTTGCTTTTGATGGACCAATGTTCATCAAAATAATTGTTGTATTAATTGCTTCACTCCACAAAAACCTGGGTAGCTGAGCTTCAAGTGCCATTGTTCAAAACTATTTTATCATTGTTCTATTCCGTCATTCTGCTGAGTTGTGTCAAATTTCTTGTAATGCCTTTGATGTGGAATTATGCTTCAAAATTCTTGGACATATACTCGACTCCTCAATCTGATCTTAAAGCCTTGATCTTCTTATCTGTTTGTCTCTTCACCATTGCTTTGAAGATTCAAATTTTGCTGTAGGTTTCATACTTTGCCTTCATGAAATAGACCAACCTCATTTCTAAATAATAGTCTATGAATGCTTCAAAATATCTAGACCTGCTTAGTGAAGGACAGAGCAAAGATACTACTGGATCTGTGTGAATTAATTGTAGTTGTTCACTAGCTTTGTTGGGTGATGATGTAAAAAATCTTTCTCTTGACTGCTTACCAGTTTGACATGCTGTGCAAATTCTATGGATATCATCTACTCAAGACATTCCTACTACATGATTCTTCTAGAAAAATGATTCAATCCATAGAGTTTGAGATCATCAAATCTACGATGTCATAAGTTTGCATCTCTTGTTTTTGTCATGTTGTTTATCTCACTAGCTGATGAGTTAAACATGTAGAGTCCATTACATTAATCTCAAATACTTGCAGCTTTAACTTGCTTGTTAACCAAGTACTCCATGATCCAACAATATCTATGTGCAAATAAGATAGCATGGTCCTTATCTGCAAGTTTAACTACTGAAATTAAATTTTATGCTAAGACGTTACGTACAAAATATTGTCGAGCTTTATTCCATAATTCTCAGCTAGGACGTGAGCATTCCCACGTCCCTTAATTTGTATTGTTCTCCTCCAGCTTCTATCACAATATCTCCCTTTTCAAGCTTCATCAAATCTAATGCTTCCTTATTTCCTACATGTGGTTAGAAACAGCACTATCCATATACCATTTGTGGTTATGATGATTGGTCACTCAATCTCCTTCATGCATGATGGAGTTGATTGATTCGCGTCGCTCTCCCAAAGATCCTCCTTCAAGCTTCCTCTTTGAGCATGTAGAAGCAAAATGTCCTTCTTTGCCACACTCCCAACTAGTAAGATTGTTAAGTTCACGAATCTTATGATATTGATTAGATGATTGATCTCCGATTGTTTCTCCCATGTGTTGACGATTACCAAATCGTCCATCAACTCACTGAGATCTTCTACCGTACTCAAAATATATATCCATACTCATGTCTCATTGGTGCACGTTGCCACTGCAAAGCTAGAGCTGCATCTTTTTCTCCAAATCGCTGATTTTCATCTCCTATATGTGTCCCTCAATAAGAAGTTTGGAGATAATCTCTTCAAAGGAAGGAAGCTCTTCCAAAGTAGCAATGACTTGAATAACTCCTTTTAAGATGTGTCACTCCATTTACAACAATTGAAGCCATAGTCTTGTTAGATATAGCCTCTTTCATTGACAACAACTTGTTCTTCAACTCCTTTGCTTTTTGGATGTATTGTGTAATCAATGCTCCCTCCATCATCTTGAGTGAATGTAGTTGTTGGGACAAGAGAAGTATTTGTCCTTGATCACCCCACTGGAAATTTCTCTCTAGCACTTGCCAAACATCAGCCGTATCATCATTCTCAGACACTAAATATTCGAGATCATCACTTACAGACATTGTAATTGCTGCATGTGTCGTGTTCTTCAGTTTCACCAACTAGATCTCGTTCACAAGTATGCCATATACTGTGAGAAGTGAGCTTCCAGATGTCTCAATTTTATTTGTAGTCACTTTCCACAGGTCAAATTGTTTGAACATGGAGCGCATGCTCAATCGCCAAACATGATAATTGGATTCTTCCACCAACTTGCAACTGTCTCCTGCAAACATCATCTTGCTTTTTCCATCCAAAATGAATCAATTTGCACAATGAAACAAAATTAAAACCTCACCTCAGATATCAAAAGCAAAGCAGACTATTTTCTCTATACTAGTGTCCTCAATCTTGCTCTAATACCATGTTCGGATTACAGTGTTATCTTTGATCGAGACTCCGCTCGTTACATTATTTTCTTATATACAGTTTTCAAAAGTCTCGGTTCACAGCACTGGGAAATCGTCAGGTGCCTAATCACTATCAAATATGTTTCTTATTTTCTCCTAAGAAGCAATGGAACTTCCACGTCATGCTTTCAGGAGCATATTTTCTAACACAAGTAACGTAGCTGCAACCGCTTTCTTCATTGTACTCCTTCACTCTCCTCTCCCGATGGACCAAAAGCACTTGCGAGTTTGCGGGAGAAGAAGCTAGAAAATTGTCTTCGCTGCTAAGACGATGGATCTCAAAGTGTTTTGTGGAAGGAGATAGCAAGATTGATCCAAATTCTACCCAAAGAAGTTCGGGGTTTTAGGCCACAAAAATATGAAAAAGAGCTAAAAGCAACACTGATTGTGATTTTGAACCTAGTTCGCTCCTCCAAGGTTCGCAAAGGAGTAAATTAAGTCCATCGTCACCATCATGGCTCACGGAAAAACGTTCCTCCTTGATGTCTTTCGAGAAACTTTGTTACTTGTGAAGGAGTCAAACGAGATCACGCAACATGTGGGAGACTTCCAGGTGAGCATGAAATATGAAGCCACTCTGATATGTTTGGACACGCCCAGCCACATGACTATCAGTCATATGAGGGCAAGAAGGGGTTGCAGTCAGAAACATCGTCGTGGTGTTGGTCGTCACAATAGATTGTGCCATTGTAAAATTTTTGGTCCATCTACATCAGCAGGGATCCCACGCAGTGATTTTAAGCGCGATTCCAAATCAGATTTTAATTTGATTCCAATAAGCATTATGCTTTCGAGCGTCTGGAACCAGATTTATTGAGAGTTGCGCAGAGTTAACGTTTTGATATGTGCACTTGTGCAATATTTAGTGATAAGATGGATGCAGTCACGAGGATCATATAGATATAATTATACGATTTACTAAGTTTGAATACAAATTTTAGTTAATATTGTTAATTTTTCTGGTTTCAAATGTATATTTGCCTCTAGGTGTAGAACAATTTCATTTTGAGAGCATTGCGGTAATAATTTACATAAGTCAATCGAGAGCTCGACTACAATATTATTGTAAATAGTATGAGCTTTTCTGTACACCATTTATGGAATGTTTCACAAAAGTCTGAAAGGTGCCCAATAAAAATGCGAGTGTAGTCTACTGGGAAGACTGGATTGTGAATTTACAATCACCCTGGCCAGGATTAGAATGGGTCCTCTAGTCGCATATGGAGAGAAATCCAACTCTTCACATCCATCCAGATGTACTTCGCTTCCAGCCATAACGCTTGCAGTTGTTTTGAAATCGACATCGAACACCAAGTGGTAAGATGGCCCTCGATGTTTCATGAATGCGCTTTCAATGAAGACAATAGTTCTAGAATTTGGTGCTCATGTCATTGATGTCAGCGATAAAATTGTGGCTTCGAATCCACAATCGAAGCGTGGAGGTTTACTGATTATGAGAAACCAATAAAAAAATAACTTTAGTTATGTTATAAATCTGGAACTCCATGAGATTCATGTAACGAGATGTGATGCCCCGTTACCGGACCTAACATGATCTTTGGAAACCAGACGAATGCAATATTGTCATCCCTGGCTTAAGAAACGTGCGTTCTGGAGCCCTCCACTTCAAGAGGCAACCAAATACCAGTCATCGAGTCAGAGTTTTAATCTGTTCGGTAAAAGTGACGTCGAGTAGTACAGCTGTCTTCCCAAGATCAGAGATATCAATGCGTGCACAAGTATAATCACACTGAGCGTCTTGACTCTCGGCACTTTTGTTTCAGCGAGTGCACAGAATGCGCGTCCATAGATTTCGTCATGGCAGCACTCAGAATCCCGGACCATAATCCACGATTCCATCCAGATCGCAGTCAGTGAGAAATAATACTCGGAGAGAATTTATGAAGACGGATTCAGATTTCAAGAAGACATGCAGACCTCGGGGCAGCCACTGGTCTGTGATGTGACTCGGACCCGGACCTGCACGGGACGGAATGTCTGCTAGAACGATCGCGTGGAGGATGAAATAGGCCTCCGAGCATCGAAAGATACGACCTGTCGGAAGACAAAGCTTGGCCCGGACTTAATAAAAATGAGAGGACGCGGTACATCACGGAGAGTAATAACGATCATAGGTTCAAACACGCGCAAAGCTTCGTTGCAAAAAGCTGTCAGGAGAAATGCAACAGCGCTATGATAATGTGGAGAAAAATCCCTGCTTTATTGAATTCAAACTTGTATATTCTAACCAACGAGCCAAATACGTACGACAGATCTGAACCCGGGCCAGACCACCAGCGTCGAGGCGATTCCGAGCCCGGATTACGGACAACATAGTTTACATTCGTCGACTAATGTGCAGCATTCACATATGTACAACTTCTGTAGATCCACGCAGAAAGGCGATGTAGACTCGTCCATTCGTCGGACGAATCATTTTCTGCAATAAATGCTCGTGGACTCGATCTCGTGGACTGCTGGGAAACCTGCCTGGACATTCTTCTCGTGCTTTCTACGTGCAGAACCGCACTACCGAATCGTTGCGGAAGGTATGTACATGCGTCAGGACACGGACCTCGAGGTCGAAACGAAGAGAAGGATGCGCGCACACGCAGAACTGCCCTCCGTGGAGATCGATCTAGTCCGCCTTGGAGCCCGAAGAGCCCGAGGAGCCGGTGGAGCCGGTGGCAGTGGCGGTGGCGCTGACGGGAGTGACCGGGAACCCGATGCCGTGTCGCGACGACGGGAAGACCGAGAAGACCAGACTGACGAAGAACGAGACGACGATGGGCACGGTCATGACCACGGGCGAGCTGAGGTCGGGGAAGAGGCAGGACCGGACATTGGGAGTCATGAGCGCGCAGGCGCCGAAGACGGCCAGCGAGAGCAGCGCGTAGACGAAGTCGCTGAACCGGAGCTTGTAGGTGGCCTGGTCCGCGGGCTGCAGGGCGGCGGGCAGTTGAGGCGTCCAGAGCCCGCCGAGCGTGACGACGCCGAAGTACACCTTCCCGTCGGGCGCCTGGAAGCTGTCGGTGAAGCACGAGAAGAAGCAGTAGGCCGCGAAGAAGGCGGTGGTGCCGACCGTCAGCCACAGGTACTGCGGCGGGTCGCAGGTGCCATTGTTGGTGACGATGGGCGCGACGGTCGTGAAGGCCAGAAACGTGCCCGTGGGCAGCAGCCCGGCCAGATTCGAGGCCCCGCTGGTTATGCCGTTGATGAAGGCTGCCCACGGCGACACTTGGACGGTGGGATTGTCGGTCCCGGCCACCAGAGGATCGGTGAGAGCGGCGCCGGAGCTCGTCATGTTTTCGGGTTTTCCTGAGTCTGAGTCTGAGTTCTCGATGGCGGCCGCAATCTCTCGATGGTCCTGCGTCCTCGTCCTGCCCATCGGTGCTGGGGGCCGTGTCTCCATTTATGGGACGGCCTCTGGGGCCTGAGCTCGCAACATTCGCGGCCTGGGCACGAGTGGCTCGCGCCTGGCCGTAATTGATGCGCTCGAACCTTGCGCCGCACCTTTCACCACGTCATCTTCTCTCGATCACGCCTCGCATGTGCTCTGGTTCGACTGCTGTGCTCGAGGCGAGAGTTCCATTGCCTCTTCTTCTCGGACTCAAGGGCGCATCTTGTGACGCTGTTCAGAAGTTTGCTGACAGAGAGGCGCCCGGGATCAGGGCTCTTCTTCTCTAATTTTGTGCTCCTTCTCTAGCGAAGGCCAAAATCACGTTTCTTCTCTGGGGTTTAATACGGAATTTCCTTTATCTTCGGGATTGGCTTCGATGAGAGAAGCATAAAACTGCTGATTTGCATGTCGGGAATGGGGCTCCAAGCTCGGATGCTAGACGCTGAATCCTGGAGCTCAACATTCCTCCCGCTGGAGTCTTCCATGCCGAAAATGGTTCAGCGGAAGTCATGTGAGACAAGAACTTGAAGAATTGCCATGATTCATATGACAAGACGGAAATACTATTTATTTAAAGAAAAAAAACTATACCTACGCACTATATATGTGCAGACACGGGGTTTTCAGACTGTAAACACTATCTTGGTAACCAATATAGATCCACAGAGGCTGAGGAGCCTTCAAAGTTGTGAAGATGTTCAATAGACTTACTTACTTCAGGGTCCTGCTTCTGAATTCTCTTTGGTGAACCTTAATATCATCAGATGGATGTGAGGAAAGATGGACAATTGATACTCTGCCCTGAATCTGCCAGTATATAATTTTGAGATGTGCACAATAGATTGCCTCCTGCAAGCGTACGATCGGGAAGCGGTTTCTGTCCTGGATCTTGTTCTTCAAGCAGGGGAGTGTTTTCTCAGAAGAATACCCATCTAGAGAATTTAGGAAGCGCTGGATTGTCAAGCCTACTTCTCTGTGTCCACTATCTACTGATGATTCAAACCTGTGGTTACTGCCACTCATCCCACATGAAATGAACCGCTCATTTTATAAGGGACAGATTGGATGTCCTTCAATATGTTCTCAGTTCGCAGAAGGACCGAATTCAAACCCTTTGTGCTCATACCCCACACGTCTTTCCAGTCTGGAGCAGATTTGGAGATGAGAGCAACTGTTGACTCTATCGTCGGAAGAAGAGCAGGTCCTTCTACCAGAATAGTCGGTTCCTGTTTCTCATTACTAGAGTCGCATTTACTAATGGCACATCTGCACCGTTGCCATCAAATATGAATGGCTAGTTTAGGCATCCAGGCCAAAAGACTTTCCTCAGGGTTAGGTGCATGGATCTCCTATCTGCAACTTGCAGATCAGCATCGTCTATCTAGACGGCACTCTGAGATTCTGATGTTTCACACAGGGCACTCAATCGTGAAGCACGTAATCGAAACAGGTGGCAAATTTTTATCCACTCGAAATATTTACAGTCACATTCTCTTGTAGGCCAAGAGGCACATCTGCAAACTGGTGTGGAGGCACAAAGGTGTTGGAACTTCTGATTTGTTATCAGGAAGGCTGTTTTACTCAGTAGTAGTGCTTGTACATATAGTGTTGTGTGGTCTACTAAGGTAATCTATAACGGTAATGTAATGGATAACAAATAAGGTGTGTCCACTGCTTTTGGACACTGTATTTAGCACTCAGAGTGTCTAACTTATTCTAACGCGCTCCTTTACTCTAGAGTGCATAAGGTAGGTTCTAAAAAACTACTTCTCTACATCTGATTCTTCTTCATATATCAACTGAAAGAGACTTTTCACTTGGCGTTTCCAGACTTCGTAGTCCAAGATAATGCCTGTGCTGATTAAACTTCAACCTAGGAAGAGCCTTGGTCAGCATATCTGCTCGTTGTAATTTTGTGGAGAGGAATCGAACTTCAATCTCCTTCAAAGCTATCCTTTCCCTCACAAAATGATGCTGCTGGATACCAATGTGCTTGCTCCTTGCATGAAATATTGGATTTTTGGCAAGTTTTATAGCACTCTCATTGTCACACTGAACTATTGTGGATTCAGTAAGTGAACTGGAAGTGGGAAGTGCAGAAGTGATCTTGATGTACTTCCAAGAGAGAAGAGTTGGTGTAATTGCGACTGTAACTGGGTTGATTTCATGTAAAAGTTAACGCAGCCAAACAGCTTCCTGTGCACCAAAGAACAAGGCTTTATATTCACTCTCAATAGAAGAGAGTGAGATAAGATTCTGCTTCTTAGAACACCATGATAGTGCCCCTCCAGCGAGTGTAAATAAGTAAGCACCACTAGATTTGAATGTGTCCTTGCAAGAGCCCCACGTGGCATCTGTATAACCTTGCAATTGTAATGAATTTACTCGTTTGTACAATATCCCGTGGTCTAAGGTACCCTTGAGGTACTGCAAGGTTTGGAAGCCAATATCTAGATGAGACTCCTAAGGTGCTGTCATAAATCGTGAGAGTTGTCCTACAGCAAAACAAATATCAAATCTGGAGTTAGTAGCAAACATCAATTGGCCAAGTTTTCTGTTAAATGTAGGATCTACAAAGGGAGTGTTAGTATCTTCTTTCAAGTAATGTCCCGCATCTATTGGTAAAGTAGATGGCCTGCAGTTGAGCATATTAAACTCCTTTAAAACTTTTGTGATATATGACTTCTGATGAAGTAATAACCCTGTGATGATCAAAAAAACTCAACTCCTAGATACTTCTGAATTTCATCTAAATCACTCATTTCATACTGAAGCATTAGATCCGACTTAATCTCAGAGATTTTTAACTGATTGTTCTCTGTTATGTACATGTCGTCTACATAAAGCATCAAAATAACAATGAGATATATCTCCCTTAAAACATAAAGATTAGTATCTGAGTGACAACGTGTACAGCCTCCTCCTCTTTGGTATAAGTCGATACATTCATACCAAGCCCTTGGAGCTTGTCTCAAACCGTAAAGTGCTTTGTTCAGTTTACACACAAAACCTCTAATAAAACATTCTCAAAACCTTTTCTAATAAAACCAGGTGGTTAATGTACATAAAAATTTTCTGAGATAACGCCGTTTAAAAAGGAGGTTTTGACATCTAGATGATAAATTGGCCATTCGCATGCACCCGCAATAGCGGATACAGATCTAACCGTCGATCACTTCACGACAGGATCAAAGTATCGGTGTAGTCCTTACCTTCTTTTTGTTGGAAGCCTTTTGCTACAAGACGTTATTTAAGACGAGGTGTGGAACCGTTTTGGGCTTCTTTGACATGAAATACCCACTTGCATGTAATTGCTTTTGCTCCACGTGGTAATCTAACCAGGGTCCAGGTACGGTTTTTATGGATTGGGTTCAACTCATCAATCATCGACGCGTGTCATTGAGGTGTCTTAAAAGCTTTGTCAAAGGTGAGTTGCTCTCTCATATAGTCGATAAGCTTGACTTCATTTTAGTCAAATGTATTTCCAGGATTCTCGGCACTATAACTTACATAGTACTTCCAGTAAGCAGGGGGACGTATGGAGCGATGTGTGATGGACTGACTGTTTGGCATATTTTCTATAATAGGATCTGAACTAGTTGGTGTGTTTATGTCAGTCCTATCAACAGAAGGAGTTTCAAACCATTCACTCTCAATGGTGGATTCATCTGGTGGAGGTGGGAGAGTTAAAACTTAAGAAGTAAAAGGAGATGTTGATGTCCTGTCTACATCTGGATTCCTGAATGTACAAAGCTATCGTCTGAGAAGGTGTGGTTTCAGGGAAATGAGTGAGATGTAGCGTCAGTAAGTAGAGCATTCTCAGAGCTAACATTGACAATGGAAGTCAGATTCTTTTGTTCAGATACACCATTTTGATGTGGAGTGTAAGCACAAGTTAAGGCATGATGAATATCTGATTTTACGCAGAATGCATGATATGCCTTGAAGAGATATTTTACCCCTCTGTCCGTTCGTAGTGCCCCAATCTTGTGAGTGTAACTATTCTCCACCATAATTTTGAATTCCTGAAATTGCTGTAGTGCCTCATATTTAGTCCTCAGAAAATAAATCCAAGTATACCTCGTAAAATTGTCAGTAAACATCAGTATATATTTTTTTTTTTGTTAAGGATTCAGAAGGGAAAAGTCCGCATAAATCAGCGTGCAACAATTGTAATGGACGGGTTGTTTGAGTCTGAGAGTGTTTAGGGATATGATCTTGACTTTGCTTTGCTTTCAGACAAGTAGCACACAAAGACCTAATGTGACATATCTCAGGAATTCCGACAACCAGCTTTTTAGAGGCCATCAAATGGAGTTTTTGATAGTTTGCATGGTCCATCCTACGATGCCAAAATTCTACCTGAGAGACAAAACAGCTTTGAAGATCGAGTTTAGATTCTTCTATATTTCAAACTTCAGTGGAACGAAGAAGTTGTGTTGAAGAAGATGGCGTTGTGATGGCCGGTGAGAACCTCCAGGCTTAGTTAGCTTGTATAAACTTTTGTGTGGATCCCGTTATCCTTGCAATTGTATGCTACGTGGATTTTCTCTGTCAAATACATAACAATTCTTGGAGTTAAAGAGTGCTACGTGGCCTAACAAACGTCCAACACACATAAAATTTTTCTTCACACCAGGCACGTAGAAAACATCAAACACCTTCTAATGATTTAATGTAAGTGAGCTCTTTCCACAAATTGGAAGAACCTGATTGCCTGCAGTTCTAACTGAGATATGGTCAGCCTGATTTTTGATATTAGTAAGAAGTGAAGTATCTTCAATTAAGTGTGAGGAGCATCCACTATCCAAAAACCATGACTATTTTCTTCTACTTGACTCAAAAATGCAGAAAGTACATTTGCTGCATTGTTGGCTACTGTACTTTCTATGACAGGAGCATCGTCATTATCAAGGAACACGGCATCAGCTTCCTCAAAAATGACCTTGTGATGGTCATCATGGCCGTCAAGGTAACATTTCA